CAAAAATGTATTTTGCAGAAATTTTTCGTTATATAAAACAGAATATTTGTTTGCTATTAAAAAAATGTCTCGATTAAATTATAGTTTTACAGAAGGCAAATTTTTTTCTTACAATTAGTGCATTTGTAAACATGCGTAATACGCGAAATATGTTTACACGATATAATTTCTATCCTCCACGAAACAATTTACTTTCTCCGCATTTTACTGTCATTAGATAAATTCCCACAGAAGCGATTGTCTCATTTTTAATATACCTTCACGACCAAAGTACTTAGCGTAAGCAGCTTCCGGAGCAGATCCGGAAGCTGCTCGTAGAAAGAAAGTGTGGTTGATTTCTAATAATAATTTGCTAATAATAATTTGCGAAGTTGAATTGTTCGCCAATAGAAACCCGCGCGCGCCTTTGATTCATGCGATCATTGACAACGATTTCTCCATCAGCTGTGTATCAATGCCTTTCGATTTCCACTCTCTGGCGAGGTCGCAACGTCCGTCCGCGACAATATTCGTCACAACAAACTTTGACCTGTGTTGGACAGCACACGTGGCACCATTTACCACGAGTCTTCTGCATATAATAACGCGTATACATATAATTTGTTGCTTACTCATACCGAACGACGCGTTCCTTCGTTCTCACCTGATGCATGACCTTCGTCGATAATGATTCGTTGCCAGGCGACTAAGTCGCACATGGTTGAACATGGTCGCGACAATTTCTCCAGCGACGTGCCTTTTTCCCTTGGGAAACAACGCTGATATCTTTCCCTTATTTCGTCATTATAATATTTCTCCAGATCGATACGTGTCAATCTCTAGATTTGTTAGCGTCGCATGCTGCGACATGCTCTTACTTCCTCCGACCGTAGCTCCTACTTACTCAAACGCGGTCGTGAGTACTTAGAGTGAGTAGAAGTTATGTTGAAGCATGCTGGAGTATGCGACGTGAACAAATCTGTGTTTAGAAACGCCCCGCGATGCGTCATCGCGATTGATATTTTATGTGACAATCGTCAGTTGCGATTCTCCTCACTGTAAGCTGTCAAAGATCCCAATCATACATTTGTTGAACGAAAATATGAAATATCCGTGATATCAATTCTAATCGTATTGTAATCTATTGTGTTTAACATACCGAGTATTTTGAATACGGGGTCAGAATCATCAAATGCGTCTACTGTTGTTAATTTTAAAGTTAACAGAACAATTACAGGAAACTCGTGAAAATTTCAAATTTCAAGTTTGTGAATCTATATATGTGCGTGCGTGCGTGCGTGCGTATGTGCGTGTGTGTGCGCGCGCGCGCGCGGTGTGTGTGTGTGTGTGTGTGTGTGTACATGTGTATTTTAGGAACTTCCTCTGCATAGTTTGATAATTGTTTTGATCTAAATCTAAACTATTGTATTTTTTAAAGTGTACGTGCGTATTTAAATTATATGTAATATTCATTATAAATAATAATGCATTCATGCACGTCGCGATGTGTACGCTGGTACGTTTATAGTCGTCTTTAAAAAAAGATATTGTGTATATATAAGGTGTCCGGTAAGTTTTGACAAAACTCGTGTGTAGATAGAGCGGACTAACTGAGTCTAAAAGTCCTCCGTTAAAAGTCCAATTTTCGTAATTTTTGTTTTTAGTTACCTAATGAATATCTAAAATTTACATATAAAATAACTTTAAGACTTCTTTAAGAATTCTTTAAGAAAAATATCATTAAAATATTTTATAAAGGACTCTGAAAGAAATCTTAAAGTAGTCTTATGTATGTCGATTTTACTCGCTTATTCGACAATCTTTAGAAATTAATATCTCGTTAACTATTTCGAAAATTGCAAAATGATACAGAACTTTTCGATTCAATTTAGTCCGCTCTATCTGCATACGACTGCATACTAAAAATTAATTTTTATGTAAAAATGAACATAAGAAGTATAATCTCTCTATTGGCCTTGATTTTAACAAATGTTATCCAGGACATGATTCTGAACAATATTCAAAAGATTTTAGCCGTCGATCGGACATTTTGTGTAATCCTGATGTCGCCGATATTGTAACTTTCAAGCTTTATAACTCGAAAAGTACTTAATAAAAAATATTTTATTATAGTGTTTTGAAAAGCTCTTAAAATAAGACTATGTAATAAAAAAAGAGTCCTATTTAAAAAATTCAACTTGACCTTCATATGATTTTGCAGACTCCACCTAAAGTCAATCTTTCAGTTAGATAAATTTTTTTGAAATCCTACAACTTTGCTTTTATATATTTTTGAGTTGATCATTTTTGAGATATTTTAGCGTTTCCAGACCTTTTGAAGACCCTGTATATGTATATATAAAGCGCTATACATGACGCTTTTTTTTACATTTTATCGTTATATAATGACATTTTATATTTAAAAAATTGTAAAGTATTGCAAAAGATTAAAATGTATACTTTTAAATATTTTACGTAACTTATGTTGGTTAAAAATGATATTAAAAAAAAAGAAATTAGAAAATAACAAGAATCTGTTAACGTTTGAGAATATTACATCAAGCAACACAATGAAAGAAAATTCAAAAACCCTGCAATTAATCCTATACCAAATAAATTAGCTACGACATGTCTATTCGTTAAACATAAAAACATCAATTATTCGATTCGTGTTACATTTATGATTTGTTTTCAACTTAATATTAGATGCTTTCCATTTGATTATAAGTCGATATAAGCATCATTTATCTTTCTGGACCGATTGATTTAGCAAGTAACAAAGATATAACAATTCTTGTGCCGACTTATATATGTTACCAAATAGAAAGCACTTATTCTTTATAAATTATGAATTTTTAGACAAAGATAAAAAATACTTTAATTATTTTATATTTTCGCTTTTATCACTTTGAGTGTTAATTACTTAAATTTTTTTGAGAAATGCAGTGATAATTCTAATACTCTTAAATCCAGCTCTACAATAAGATTAACTCTAATCTTGATTTGACTTATTTTTTTTATAATTCTTAGAATTTCAACATTATGTCAATATAGTATATAACAGGTAAAATGTTGGTTCTATCTAGATTTTTTATCAGTGCGATGATTTACTAGATCTCCTATAAATATAAAGTAAAAACAAGTACTTTAATTATAAAATGTTGTTGGTTTATTGTGCATCAATTGACTGAGCGAATAATTATCTGTGATGCATGGTGGCAACCAAATTAAAACTATTTTAAAACTATTTTAAAAAATTAACTAATTCAATAACAAGCAGCAATTTTACAGATAAATATTAAAAGCAAAATTGGAAGAATATTTATCAAATTTTTAAGAGTAATTTATTTAGTACATTTAGCATATCTGTTTCGCAATAATGTATAACGTATTTTATACATAATAGATTATTATTATTATTATTTATTAATATTAAAATTCTTTTCATAATCCAATCAGTAAAATTTAATTTATGCTTTATAAATATAAATTAATAATTTTTCTTAATTGTGTTACAATAAAAATTATATTTTCACTTTTCAGCAGTTATAATTGGTTATAATTTTATGTAATAAATTTCATTTAACGTTCTTGTGATATTTTATATCATTATATAATATTATATTATAAAAAAAAGAAAAGGATGTATATGTTGATTTCAGAAAACAAAATTTAAGGTAATACATATCTGATGTACTTTAAACATAAATATATTAATTCATATGCTTGTACATGTTTTATATTTTTTATACAACAAAATATTTATGACAACAATACAGTTGAGAACGATATACAATATATATTGTTATGTTAATTCATTCACATAAATATGGGAGACAGCCTCGTTCTCTTAAGATGTAATAGAGTTATGTAACTGCGTAAAATATGTAAGTACATACTCTTGATTATTCTTGATTATTATCCAGTCTTTCAATACATTTTTTCGTGTCGACTCGTGTACAAAGTATTTAATATTATAAAATTTTTCTCAGCAAAAAATAAAACTGACATTATCTGTCTTCACTGACATTAATTATTTATCTATGACTAAATAATAATCCTCCGATACAAATATCATAGAAAATAAAACGTCAAATATTTGAAGATTGTTATTAAATTTAAATTTGCAGCTAAAATTCTGATCCATGGACATGCAAGTTACGGAATAATTGTACATACATTACATATGCATTTACATGAATACTTTCGGATATTATAAGAATGTGAAAATAGGCCAGTTGGTTCGCATTTTTCTTAAAAATTCTGAAGCTATTACCGTTCGTTAACGCTTTAATAAGAGAGAATATCCGTTAGTGAAAAAATATGTTATTTACACGTAAGATATCTAATTGTGCGTCGATTCATTAATTCGCCGTTTGGAGAATATATCAAAATCTACTTAATGGAACAATGAAAAGTGATTTTATACTGCAATTATTTACAGATTTTTTTCCATGTGCGGGGATTGTGTATGTATTATATGTGTAAATGTTTATATGTGCGTGTCCTCAGTTCACTCATAGAACCATATAAATGCGATGAGCGCAATGAATTATGCGCCGTTATTGATCCAATAATAAAAACACTAACAATAAGTATTAGATAATGCCATTTTGTAGTGGGCATTAATAATGGCAAGCAAATGGCAGTAGAAATTCTGTGGCAAGAAAATACCGAAGAACCATCGTGTGTAATGATAATGACTAATAATGTGTTTCATTTAAACAAGTGCTTAAATTTCAATTGTATTTTTATAAGGACACACGAATTTCGAATATAATTAATCTCTGGCAGAATCAAGAAATATTCAAGGAGTAAAATTGGAGAGCACATGAATGTTTGTAGATTGATTTTGCTTTCCCTGTATAACTATATTAGACACTTTGCAGACCTTCATATCTTTGTATCCGTGTGATCAGTTTTATTAGATGCCTACGTACTTAATTCCAGAACATAAAAACTTAATCTATATTATTAAAACAATTGATATATAATAATAGCGAAAAAAAAAATTTCACGAAAAAGTACAGAAAAACTGCATAGATTGAGACATCTTAGAAATTCTTAATTTTTTGTGGATATTTTGTAATGGGACGTAAAGTGAGGATTGTCTTAGAAATTCTTAGTTTTTCATAGATATTTGTAGTGGGATGTAAAGTGACGTAGTTTGAGGGCGGAGGATTGCTTACTTTTTCAAACAAACAAACATCATTCTATGTCTCACTACAAATATCTAAGAAAAATTTCTAAGATCTTATCTCAATCTATGTAGTTTTTCGTAAAAATTTTTCCGCCAAAGATAATTAAATATTTTTTAATTTATCTCACTATTTTCTGGTATTTATTGTCCAAACAGTTAATTAGACGATCGATAAACAGACAAAAATATAACGAATTTGCTTCAGGTGTCGTTCGCATTGCGAAATTTGTATTTCCTATTTCAAATTAAGATTTACTACTGTCGATCAAAATTTTCCAAAATTAAACGCAATACCTTGAAAACCGACAAAAAAATTCTAGATAAGTCCACCATTGATAGTTTACGTTAGCATCTAGATTTTCACAAAGCATTCGATGAAAAACACGGCACATTGTCTTATATTAATACATGCACACCATACATATGTATATATAAAGCGTTGTTTAGATTATACAAATTTATTTATTTTCTCATAATAAAATATTCAATTCTCTATTTATACTTCGCATGGAGAACAATCCTATACAAGACGTGTCCTGCGTATCCAGCGAACCTTTAGCGAACACGAATATGCGATACACATGATATACATCGATTTTTTAATTACAATTAATTTGACATATATCCACTTGGCTCTCGCAACCGAATTTATCTTTAACGCTGCCATATCTCTCTGGACGGTGCTTATGGCATAGACCCGAGAGATTTAGCGTATTATGCTTCTCTTTGTTATACACTGATATGCTACTTAAATGTGTCGAACGATTGCTCATACAGTCATGATAATAATTTATTACCTCTAAATATCTGCTACGTCGCAGACTTATGCATAGGACGTACGTGAATAATATAATATGTAATCAGCGTTTTCTTCGACTTCGTCGCAAGCTCGTCTCTCCCTGTTAAAGTAATATTGTAGTGATAAAGTACTGTAATGAATAAAAAATGTAGGGTTTGGACATCACGTGAAAATGATTATCTTTTTTTGTTACATTAAAATGTAGCAAACTCGGGAGACTAGCCAGACTCTACCAATGTAAGATAAACTTTATTTCGGTTTAACTCGTATCTTACTCTAATTCTTAGAATTAGAAATAGTAACTTCCTGTTTATCTTTTTCTAATACTTAGGATTACAAAAAGACAAATAAGTTAACCGATTAACATTAATCTTACATTGCTGGAAGCCGGTCTTTTAATGCCAATAGGCGTATGTCGTTAATTCTTATCTGTCGAATATTAACGACTATCCTAGGAACAATGATGTCTTTACTCTCGTTACGTCTTTTTATATTTATTGATTCGACTGGCACGCACCGCGTGCATGTTAAATAAATACTTTCAAAAGTGTATAAATCGGTGTATAATGTATTACATATAAACAATTCGGCTTCTCTCTTATAGATTTATTAGAGAATCCTTTCCAGCAAGCAAATTATAACAAATTTTATACAGGATAAGTTTAAGCGCCTTTCTAAAGAAATACGATTTAAATTCGTTCAAGAGTTATCGTCTTTTAAATTCAATTTGCCTGCGGAAACGACTTCCTGTAATGAAACTGACAAAAATGGTTGACTTTTGATCGATAAATTTATACCTAGATGATGATTTGAGATTCTTTTTGCTTTTTAAATAATCGAAAATCTCACTTTTCGCAATTTGTATCATGTATTTCTTAAAGATGTACGAATAAGAATTGTAGAAAAATTAGCCATAATGGTACAATTGAATGTGTGTACGGTTAAATTTCAATTCATTTTGACCAGTTCATTCCTAACGATCGAAGGTTAACTTGCATTCATTTCCGTGAAATATGTAGTGAGCCAATCATTTACGCTTTTTGCATTTATTTTTACCCAGTGAATGTTAAATTTTATCATTTCTAAGCTTTGCTGCAGGGTGCGGTTAGCGCTGCGAACGTCGCGTTGCTTGAAGAATTCCGAAACCTACAAAAAGAAATTATAAAATATTTTCATTGTGGTATAATTTTAAAGAAATCAAGTGCAATTATTTTTAAGAAATTAACATTTCAAAGAAATGACTTCTTCTTACTTCGCGATAATCATATTCTGTAATGAAATAGTCAGGAACAACGCTAAGTATGAGATTGCTTATCGAGAGCGATTCATTTGCATATAAGGCTTCTATTTGCGGCCAATAAGCTTTAATGTGACGCCAAGCGAGATAATGTCCGTGTGGATTGGCAGCAACGGACGTTATGACAGTATTAACTTCTTGCGCTTTAAGCAGATTTCGATTCAGTGATAGTCGAAGATAACGTTTAAGTAACCAAGGATCCATCGTCGAGCCTAAAGCTTGCAACATTAATAATTTTTCACTCTGGATTTGTGTTTTAAGATAAACCTGCCAGCAATGCTGCCAGTCAGCCTCCTCTCCGAACTTGATACCTACAAACATATTAGTGTTACAAATTATTTTACTTTGCGTTTCTCTAAGACTGATATTGATAGTCGGTTCTTATTTCTCAACATTATTTTAATTAATATCTTAAGATGCTATATTGCTTGATTGGTTTATGATTTAAGACTTAAGATGCTAATATTGCTGTGATTGATTTATGCGCACTTAAGATAATTTTAAATATAAGAACAGTCTATGAATACTAGTCTATTATTAGTACAATTATATTGATATTATATTATCAAGTAATTATATACAAACATTTTATATAAATATTATATCCTTTTTTTACCTGCCATATAAACGATTTTCCGTATATTAGGTGCGATGCGTGTATCCTTCGATATCCAATCTTGAAAAAGACTTCTTGCAGATTTCACTACATCGTCCATTTCTAATTCAACAGCGGATTTTAGTACTGCTGTTCTCAATAATCTGTATTAAAATAAAACTTAGATTAATGTCCTGTTCGTTGTGTTAGTCAGTGAATATCTAATAAAAATGAGCAAGATTTTTAAATACTATACGATACTTTTTCAAGTGAGAGCCTTCATCCGTCAAGCCAATGTATCTTGTAATTGGACCCATCAGTTGTTTAAAGAATAAGGTATATTTTTTATACGCTGCGCTTTCGGCCAGTCTGTCTTTCCAAAAGTTCAAATACCGAAGTACGGTCGCCCATGGCGCATAATCTTTTTCGTTGACGAGGTAAAGCGAAAGTTCTAATGGGATTGAAGCATCCACCTCACCCGCATCGCAAAGCGCAAATGCATCGTCGATGAGATTCGCCCGATCTGCCGGACTGAACTTGGTATGATTCTTTATCAAAGTTTTAATGATCGAAGTCCACATCTCCTTCGGGTAATTTACTCGATAAAAGCCAGTTTGATTGATGTTGCATTTGATGTAATCGACATCGCTCGATATGTCGAAAGTTGCTAAATAAAATATAAAATACTTGTCTTAATTTCTTAATCAGGATTTGTAGAAATCGGATGTAACAAAAGCATGTGTCTTCTGAATCATAGACTTACATATACAGATTGCGCTTTCACACAAGAGCTTGCGTGATAAGACTGAAGAGGAGCTAGCTATATCTTATTATATGTATCGAAGCATAGTTATATTCTATTATTTTCGTTCTTCCAATGTCCATAGACATGCTATCTTTGTGGCACAAAAAAAAGAAGATTTAAGAGCAGCAGTAACAAGCTAGAGATTGCCTGTATACATGCTTCCTCTTCCTTCGATCAGCTTCTAACAGAAGCACTCGCTCTATGTATATAAGTCTAAGTTCTGAGCAGACAAATAAATTTGAATAAATTTGAAATTATCACCATCAGTCATATTCATCCACACTTCCATATAAGATTCTGTCGAGTCATCCTTGTCTGTATAACAATGCAATGGGATGTACCACTTGTAGTCAAAGGGTGACTTGGGATGCGAAGTATTTGCTCCTTCTCGAGGTGAAGCAAGGAACCTTTTTTGAGTCGCTGTGATAGTACTGTCTTCACGAATGATGGTAACAAGTGGGAAGCCCATTTGTTGGATCCAAGTATTCATTATAATCTGTCAATATATTTTAATTGTATTAAATATACGCAGCAAAAACGCGCGAAATAATTATTCTTACATACTTATTGCACTTACTTTCACATCAAGTTCTGTACTAACAGATGAATTTTTAGAATGTTTTGTGAGAACCTCCCACAGATCATTGGTCTCTGTATTTGCATATGCGTGCATATTTAGATAATCGTTTAGTCCGCTTTGAAAAGCACACGCGCATAAAACTACTTCCAACATATAGAGGACGGAAGCACCTTTGTAATAGCTAACCGTATCGAATATGCTTTCTATCTCAATGGGGTTTTCGACGAACACGCTTACAGGGTGACTATTGGCTAGTGCATCGAGCTCAAGTGCTCGTTGCGTTTTGTGTAATATGAATAAATCCATCATGCCCCATTCAGGAAAAATATGATTCACGCCTTTGTATTCAAAGAATGTCGCAGCACCTTCATTCAGCCACAGATCATTCCACCATTTCATTGTCACGAGATTACCGAACCATTGATGAGCTAATTCGTGAGCCATAATAACGGCTGTATATTCTTGTATTTCGGTAGGTGTTTCTTTTGGATCGTACATTAAAAACGATTCTCGAATAGTAATTAGGCCCCAATTCTCCACAGCAACGGGTTCAAAATCAGGAATTGCTATTATATCTAAGCGCAGAAAAAAAAAAATATATATATATATATATATATTATAAAATATTATATATTAAAACACAAAGTATTAATAATTTTTTCATAAATATGTTTTATATTTTGTTTGAAAAACGTACCTTGCTTTGGCAAAGGATAAGGTATGCCAAAGAAAGATTCAAAGTAATCCATAATACGAGTAGCAGTGGTCGTGGCATATATCATATGCGGAAGCATATGCGATGCGGCATACACACTTACAGATGTGTTTCTCTTTGTTAGTTCGAAAACTCTTTTAAAATCGCATACCACAAAAGCCACCAAGTACGTTGACATGTCTACAGATTCTTGAAAATCGTCGCGTAGCTGAAAAGCAACATTATTCTGAATCAGGTTTATGAAAATATGGTCACTCGCAGATAATACCATAATTGCAATAATGGTCTGATTTGTTATGCTTACGATCAGCAAATGAAAAAAGATGATACTTTTGAGATGTCAATCGTGAAACTTTCACATTAAATTAAATAAATAACATTAATTAAATAACGTATTTATTTACTTACTAAAGTACTTACAAGATTTGTACCCAAATAAAATCCAGCCTCCTCAGTATTTATCGCAGGCATATTACATAATGCAATGTGAAATCTATCTCTATATATTGATATCTTAAATTTAGCTTTAAATTGTGGTTCATCGAAACATGGAAAGGCCATACGCGCGTATGTTGGTTCGAAACGAGTTGTAGCCAAATATCTAAAAATTAAAGAAAAAATTGAAAAGCTCAGTCTTATTAAAGCAACATATGATAAAGTATTCATTTGTTGTAAAGGGAATAATAATAATAATTTTGAAGTTACCTGTAATCTCCTTCAGGCGTGGTGTAACTGCTAAAATAGAATCCTTTAAGTTCAGTAGAATTTAACGTCGAATTAAAACTCAAAAATAGCGTGTAATTATTCCTTTTCCGAAACGATGAATCCTCCAATTCGAGATATAACTGTTCACGCTTCGGATACTCGAGTAATTTCGCGATTTTCAGCTCTTCTTGACCCTCTTTCACTATCTAAAAGTCAACTCTCGAAAAATTATACAAAACTGTCATTGTAAAATCTGCACACGTGATCGTTACTTACTTGCTCTTTTATTGTCAAGTTTTTACTATGGAAGACGATAAATTTGGTCTCTTCATCAACATAGAATTCAATTGTGACTCGTCCTAAAAATGAGAGCAAAAAACTATTTATTACATACAATCGAAATATTTTTTTATTCAACGCAAAACTTTTTAAATTTACCTCTAAATTCTAAGGTGGTAAGATTTGGATGCATGGTAATATTGTACCTAGTAGGATGTGCAAAGGCAGGTAATCTTATGTTATCCCATGGAAATACCTGCAAAATTTTTCATTATTTGATATTAAATTCGATAAATAAAAAAATAGGGGGATACTTATATCTACTAATTCATTTTTCATTATCCTGTACGGTGTACTTAGCCTTACTTTAATTAAATATATTCTAAAGCAAATTTTTTTTCCAAATTTCTATATTTTGTAGATTTTTTAATTTTACGATATTACAAAATATACATAATTAGCTAATTTAATAAAATATAATATAAAAAATGTATTTTTCAATTAAACAAATATTGTATAACCATTGTCAATAAATCAAATAGAAAAATTTTTCAAAAGTAAACAAGATATATGCAATTTTTTGTCTTAAATAATTAATTAATCATATTAATATTTTCACATGTATTATGTGCGTACCTCTCCATTTTCCATCCGAGGCACGGCGTCCTTTTCGTCATCCGTAATTTTACTGGAGTCTTCTTCAGAACAAACGCAGCCTAAAGAGAGAAATAATATGTGTTTGAATATATGAAATAAATATGAAAAATCTTTCTGTAAAAATTAAATTTATGATGTTTGAATGTGTGCAATTTAATAACTTTTGAGAATACGAGGCTCGAGATAGAGCTGAACATTTAAATACCAGTTCGCAAAGGCGCCAAGGCGATGATAAGTGCTGTGACAAGAAGTACCATGCAGCAAATACAAAGTACGCAATAAGTCTTTCTCTCAGAACATCTAACGACTTCATTTGCGCGCTCGTAAAAGTTACGTCTGTGCAATCCTGCGCTGCTATCTCCTGAAACAAGGAATATCCTATAAAAAAAAATTCGCTTCAATATAATTTTGCATAAATTCACCGTAATTATAATTGCGTGTATATGTTAATTTATAGCTAATTAACATAATTAATTTAGTATAATTAATTTTAATTGATTAGATGGGTATGCAAATTTCATTGCATAGCTATTAATATATAATTTAAATAAATTTTTTTCTTTATCAATTTCATTTTCGCATGCGCAACAAATCGAAATAAGAAGTTAATATAATTACAAAATAAAAATAAGTCATTTTAAATATAAATTTTCAAATTTTAATTATTTTGTATATACATATAATTTATAAAAAATAATTTTATTACATATATATGTACATAAAAAATATTATTTGCATATTATTTAACTGAATTTAATTTACAAATTATATTTAAGGTTAGTAATTTAATATTTTTATGCTTATACTATAATGAAAAGTTTGCTCTTCTCACGATTAAGCTCTTGACCTGGATTTTGTATTGTTGTACGACTATGCAGACTAACTAGTGCACTTAACTTATGCAAAAAATGAAGAAATAACATTTTTAATAATTTGATTGTTAACGTTTTTAATTTTTAGAATTTTTATTTATATTTAAGACAATTAAATAAGTAAATACTTATTTCTTATATATTTTTATTAAAAGTAATTAGAATTTAACAAACGTATGAAATATGTTAAATTGGTAAACTTATATATAGAAATGAATGTTATATAATTCCATTTAAAATAGTAAAAAAAAACATACATTTATTTTTGTAATAGTAGTAGTTTTGTAGTAGTAGTTTAGATTTGAAATTTTTTTTAATTTGATATTAAAATTATAATATTTTTAAGGAACACGTTATGTATATTTTAATGCTTCTATAATGTTTTTAAAATTATACTTTTTTTTTGTTCAAAATATGGATAATTTAATTTATTATTTTTGTAGTTAATATTTTTAAGCTGTCATAGGAATCTATAAACAAATTTTTTTAAAATAAAGATTTGTCTTAAAGATTTTTGCGTAGTGTCAATACATTAGCTTTATTTTATTTAGTTCTTATTGAAATTTATAATTTAAATAACAATCAAAATCTTTAAATATATAAATCTTGAAAACAGATAAATTCATATAAATTATATGACGTTTGTAACGTATAATATTTTTTCTTACAAATATATTTTCTTACACAGTCACGCATATACATAGATACATGCAATGAATGCCATGAAATCATCGACAACAGTATAACTCGTCATACGTATCTATTTCTGCTGTCAATAAAAAGATCTTAATAGAGACCTTAATAATAAAAGCCATGAATAATTGTGATACAAGCGCGTGGGTGAGAACGAAGTGTGCATGCTTTAATTCGAAAGATCAGAGGGAGCTTTCGTTTTATTGATCGCACACACGTGCTTTATAGTCTATTCGTAACTTGTGGAGGATTGTAAGTGGGCCATCTAACCGAGTTCTTATAGAAAAGAAATCTAGGTATAATAGACATGTATCAAATAAAAAAACATCAGAGAGGCACGCGATCGTATTTTACTCCAACAAGTCACCCAGGGAGATCTCACCTGTCAGAAAGGCAACATCGTCCACATCCTGCTCGCTCATCGTGAACCGATTCGGCGGCGGTCTCCGATGAACGAGTTCTTTTACCTGACCGTCTTTCGAAGCATAGGCGACTTTTATGAGCGGCTCTCTCTGTTCAGCCAGTATTTGCGCGGACGCTTGATCGTCGCCTCGTAGCTTTTCCCTTGACCGAGCTTTCGCCACTGTACTGTCGTCTCAAAATTGAAGCTTCAACGAGGAAGAAGTTCGACTTTAATAGACGGCGTTTGGAAGTTAATTCACCGTGAAGCCGGTTCGCGTGTGCCGCCGCGGTCATTCGAGCCGTATCAGTTACTATCGGCTCAAGTCTCTCTATCATTCGCTACACGCAAATGCAGCAATGTGACCGGATTAGGTCGCGTCTATCTTTTTTTTTTTTAGGCGTTTGAATAAGCCTCGATCAGTAATCTCAACGCTTTATCGATAGCGCGCTTCTGAGATACGCGTGGGATTCAGCGGGCAACATCAGGAATCAAACACGAGCAATGACGCGCAAACAACCGACGTCACTCATTCAGTGTAAACGCATTGACTCGTGCATAACGCGGATGCACCGAGCACAACTGGGACTCGGATTTTATGCAACACCACCGCAAACAGCACGACCGCAATCAACCCTACCGCGAAGAACCAGTACCGCCAGTACGTGAGGAACCGCGAGCTTATGAAATCCAAGCTGAGTGTCCCGACTCCGTCGGCGAGTCTATAGCGCGCGACATTCCTTGACATTTCATTGGCATTAAAGGCGTGGGATATAGCTACTGCGGAGTTAGGCAGAAATGGCGGCTTTCCAAACCCCCTGGTGGTGGACTGCTTTACGGGGGTGGTTTTGCCGGTCCTCGTGAGTTGGGGGTGGTTAGCATTACGGTGGCGCCATCCCTGATCTACGCTTTGCAACCTCTCCGTAGGTGGCCCATCGTAATATTGGTCTCAGTCGTGGAAACAATCAACAGGACAATGCAGGGGCTTTATGGCTTTTTACTTCATTTTGTTTGATATTATAAAGTTTGATCCAACGCTAGGATGTCTTTATGTTACATTTTTTAAAATTGTTTATACTAGTTAATAAAATATTGTTGTTTTGATTTTATAAAAGCAAAGAAAAGATTTACTATCTATCATTTCTTTTCACTACTTTTTCCCGTCAATATGAGTTTTAAAAAATTAATAAAGTTACTTGATTTTATTGTATATTAAGGAAAATGTGTAATTCCACGAAAGCTTCTTTTTTATATGTTTTTTTTTGCCAAGATTACAAAAAAGAAATGTATATGATATATAATGATTTTTATTACATTTTTTGACTTTAAGTCATTTATAATGTAAGAACTATTAATTTATGATTTCGAAATATAACAGAAATTATTTATGATTTGGATTCTATTATATTCAAGTTCATTGTATAATAATATTTAATAAATTGATATTGTATTGACAATTTTAATTAATTTCTCTCATCTTTTGTGTTAAACTACGATAAATAACAAAACTATACATATAGAAAGCTGTTTTCACAATGTATAAACAGAAGGCAAATGTATATAACTACAATTCCACATGAGACCCTTTTGAGATCAGAATCGCGCGAATGGATCAGTTTGTTCGAGGGGTCCATATCGATTTTCTTTTCTCTACGCAGCCCCTCTGACAATCGCATTACGTTCATTTACGAAATAACATTTGTGCTTCTATTGAAGATAGAAGAAGCTTTTTTGACGCGAACTCTTACAATTTAATTCAGCAGAAATTAAAAATTAAATATTAAAAAAATGTTTAATCATTTTAAAGAAGACATAGTTGAGCAATATGACTTCTATTTCATTGACATAAAATTAATTTAATTTCAAAGAGAGATACAAACAAAAATATTTGCTGAATTTAATGTTAGATAAAATTATATTTTTTTTGTAAATTAATTTTTTATGAGAAAGATTTCAAGAGTATACATTAGCGAAAATATCTGTGAATCGATAAAGTTATTATAATATGCGGACTAATTTTGATATTGACGAATATGGACAGAAAAGGAACATTTATAAATGGCTGAACTTTTGAACTTATGACCCTTTGTATTTTTTTCTTGTTGTTCCAATGAGACTTCGACTATGAAAAAGATAAGCGTTGTATAATATGAGTTATTTAGATATTTCGTGGTCGCAGTGAATTTTGTGCTGTTTTAAAATATATGTCGTATCTGGTCAAACGAATTCCGACGCTGGGCGAAACGCATTGAAACATTCATGCGCTTTCCGACTGCAATATGTTCGTCGAAGTTACGTGTCCCGAAAGGATCGGCTAGCGTTATAAACGTCGATCTTTTTCTCAGTCAATTTAGTTTCGGAACACGTACTATTAGTGTGGTGGGTCTTCCGGTAATCAGTTAAATATGCGGACGCGATAAATAAGAGAAGAATTGAGATGTATTAAACTACTATGAAGATCGTAAATTTGAAAGCTTTCTTCCTTATAAATCGTATAAGGCCATACCTATCTTTAGATTTTCCTAAGTAAGATTTGTATCGTGAGTAAGTCACGAAGGGCAACAATTTGCAAATTTTAAATGTATGGCAATCTATGTGAACACGCGAACATCAAGGGAGCGCTATCTCAAACATCTAACTAAGCAGTATTCACGTTAAGACGAAGTTTATTAAATTTGAATAACATGGAATCACAAGAATTACCTGAGCAGAACAAACACGCGCACACACAGACTATCTAAGTAAATACCCTAAATATATCGTGCGGATCGTTACGATCTAAATTCTGTATAATCAATGAAGATGCGCGCGCACAATTTCTATCTGAAATAGTTTCTCGTAAAAACCACGCAGCCAATCGATAAAATTTATTGTACGTTTTTTATCTTTTCGTTTGAAATATCTTTTTATCGATTATATTATGTTCTATATGTTTTTGCATAATGTAATTTACATAAATATATCTAGCACATACTTTGCAGTGTAAAACAAAAATTTAACAAAGTATAGAGGTCTATTTTCTGTAACTGAATTAATACCTATACACTTTAATATAAGTATATATTTGATATTTGACGAAAGCGAGAAAGAGTTCTAAGTGCAGTCTAGGAATAAAAAACAAAGATATAATAAAACACGTACCTGAATCGCAGGTTTTTCTTGCGGCATGTCTTAACGGTGCCTTCGCATCTATTTCTGCAGGATCGGTAGATTCATGTCGTCTAGGCGTCCTAGACAAAGGCTCCAATTGAATATTCTCGCTGCTATCCTTTCCTGGACTTCCTTTCGGCATTTTATTTTCACTTTTCTATTTTCTCGTCTACTCCGACTGATCTTTTATTCGGCAAAATCGGAGTTTTGAAGCGAAAGAAACTTTTTTCTTTGTTTCCGAAGCGCTTTGTTTGTCAAGTGACATACTTCGAGTTTGTTGCTGATTGACGTTTTGCTAATTATCACTATTTATATCGCTACTTTATACTCAAAAAATAAACGTCGGAGTCACAGACCTTCTGCCATCTTCAAACATTCTCACGACATCTTACGATGGTATCGATCGTCCTTTTCCTATACTGGACGTAATGTTCATGTCAAAAATTATATCGAGCTATTCTTTTGGTAGTCTCAGTTAAATTTATACATCGACATAGTACATCCGTACATGCACAAATATTTTATGTCGACAGCATTCGCATTGGTCCCGATATTACGATATGTTGCGCATAAACATTCAATTTTATTTGATCGCAGAAAAAAATATTGTATAAAAATGATCGACAAATGTGATCCGTGATCAATCCTGTTTTCTTCGAGGTAGTGCACATCAATTAATAAAAAATTAATAGCATTTTACTACTTTCTTCATATATAATCTCATGTTGACTCAAAGTACAAAGATATAGGTACTCTGACGTCGCTGCTCGAAGGTTTTATCTTTTTTCTATAAATCGAACATATGTGTCTTTGTGTAATGCGAGGCTGAATAATTACAAGTTAAAGAAGTTCATGATGACATGTACTTTTATAAATTATAGACAGCAGTTAATCAGTCTTCTATTTTGTATTCTTCCATGTCGTTGATTAACTTTGAATATGACGATATGTTTTCCTTTGTCAAAAGTTACTGGACGTCCAATCAACTTACATCTGCAATATTATTATAAGAATTATCTATTATAATTTTTTTATTCAAGTATACTAAGGTTGTGGTTTAAAAGAGATATTAATAGAGGTAGTAAGAGTTATTCTCGTCAAGCTTTACTGTTGGATCAATACTTTCAGAATGAAGATCTATTCATAATAAAAAAGTCAGAAATAATAAGAAAAATATTTACAATAAAATATTTTATAAAATGCTTCTTTATAATTTTATCTGTGTAACGTTATATAACATGTTTTTGTAAGTACCTCGTTATAATTTTTAATTTTTTATTATGTTAAAACAATTTATTCATTTTTATTGACTGTGTTTTTCCTTGTATAAATATCGGAGCATAATATCGCTTTCATAATCCACAGCATTAACTGATATTTATATGAAATATTTATATGAAATATTTATACGCTTAGCATTTAATCGCATAAGTAAAAACATAGAACACAATTATAGAGCTTGTTGCGCGGTATGTATGCAAATGAACAATGAGATTACGAGAACGAGTATCTGAAATTATCAGTTATTATCATAGATGGGAATGTATGGAACTATATCACTGTTCAAGGTTTATACAAAAGCAATTATACTCCGACTTACAGTGGATCATTATGGATGATATTTGCGCACGCAATGATAATAGCTTTCATCTGACTTGTACGCGCGACTTTTTTGATAAGAAATTTTATTATTAAAAATATTAATTATTATAAGAAAAAATATATTTAGCGAAACATTACGTTTCCTTAATGATGTTCTTCTATTTCTCTCACACACAATATACATATATATATCTTTATAAACTTTTTAGTTAAAAACTGAAAATTTAAATTACTGCCACGTTAGATTAAGATCCTATAAATATAAATCTTCATAAAATATATCTTTAATCTATTGTATATTAATTTGCAATATCTATATTTTGCACTCATTAATTTTCATAATTATATCTACATTACATTTAATAAACGTTTCATTAAAATTTTTTAATTTTTATTGCAAATTTGCAAGAAATAAAAAAATTGGAAAAAATAGAAATCTATTTTATAAAATTTAATAAGAAAATTAAAAGAAATAAATTAAATGTTAAATTGGAATTTTTATTTCAATTTTCGTATACACAGCATCCAATATAAAATTGAAATTTTTCTTTCAATTTTATTGGATGCTGTGTGCACAAATACACAATCATGCATGTGTATATGCATTGAAGAACATGCATATATAAAGAGCACCTCGTAATAGAACATTGACCCTACTTGATCATTTAACAAGAGATATGATTTAATGAAAATGCTAATGAGGGAAATACTAATATCCAATATGAATAAGAAAGAAATACATATGAAGCAATTTGAAATTTTGGATAATGTTTTACTTATTGATGAATTATTCCTCTATATAATTATTGAGTTTACATATAACATTATGTATTTTATATTTATCGCGTGCAATTGTGAGAAATTGTCATTAGATTATACTTAAACTATAGAAAATAGAGATATAACCTATAGAAATAGAGACTTACATTTCTCCGATCGCACTCAACGTTCGGTAATATATCCGATATTCGTTTCTTAAAAGAATAATCCTCGTCGTCGACGATCGCTAATCACAGACAATCGTTAATCGCGCATCCTTTATCAATAAACGTAGTTCTCATTCACTCGTGGTCCAGCTGTTCTCTCCTTTCTCGACAGTGTCTGCACATTTTTAACATCTCCGTTTGTAGTATGCACATGGATGATATATTAAGCTTACAATCGCCGCATCGTTAGAACTAAAGTTTCATCCCGACGCGACAGCTCGGTAAGCCGGCACCGTTCATGGTCACCCCCGAAGGGTTGCGTCGCGGCGTTCCGTGCGCGATTTGTCCCTCGTTGCATCAACGATATACCTGCATCCAACGCTCATTGCCGTAGCCGCCGCGACGACAATCCGTAGGTCGTGCAAGGCGGGCCGGGGTTTTCCTCGGCAAAAGGCTGACGATACAAACAGCCGCACGGTAAGAATGGCACTGAGCAGGAGCGCTTTGAGGATTGAGAGCGTGGCTAAATTTCCGGAGGGAGGCGCGTCGGTCAGGATCAGCTACAGGTTGCGCCTGTCTCGTTCACGCAGGCCAGGCATCTTGGTTGATCGTCGAGCAGCAAGGGTAGTAGTGGCGTATGCACCCAAACGGGGGAAAAAGTTGGCGAGAAAGAGGGAGAGAAACGAGAGAAATCGATTTACTTAACATCTAGGACTCTTTGGACCTTTCACAATTGTGAGCCAGGATTTGGCTCACTGGCGATTGTGTGATATTTTATTAATCACTGTCGCGACTGAATTCGCAAGTTGATTTTAATTGACGTGCAGTATAAACGAGTGATATCAATGTGGCTTTTGCACATGATTGCATTTTAATTAAAAATTTAAATTAATTTAGGACTAGCTTTCATAAAAATATTGGTAGCAGCGTTAGGAATTTATAATTAAATCGTTCGAATATATTATTACTAGAATTCAATTGTATATTAAAAAGACAAGATAAAGAACTACGAGTCGAGCACCATTTTATCATATTTTATTAATTAATTTTTAAATTAATGTATATTTTTATTTATTAGTTAAATTGCATGTGTTCGGCAAATCCCTAAGGATTTTTAAAAGTGTAAAATGTTCCAATATACGCAATTTTCATGCAGCTTTTGGCTGTTATTCTAATCTAGGTCTTTATTTAGATTCACTTTATTCACAAAATTCTTTTAGTAGAATTTTTACGATAGTTCTATAGTTGCACATTATTTAATTATCTTAAGTATTAAGTACCTTTCAAATAGAAGTGCTCTTTGTAATGAAACACAGATACTTAGTATCTTCCTTTTTATCTGTTTTCTTTAAGTAACTACACAGCTGGTAACGTCGTATACATTTTAAGGCTCCCGCAAAATGGAGGACAGCTGATATAGAAATATATAATATTTATCTCTTGCTGATATATGAAACTTTTACGATTTCTTCTAAGAGATGATACAATTTTTTTTTTATACAAAAAAGGGATGGCATTGGTTACATAATACGCTATTATTAGACGCCCTATAAAGTAAATAACCTTTTGCGCAATCTTTGTAAAGTGGAATATGATTTGTTAATAATTTTAAAATTATAACTTAATTTTCTTTCTATCTCTATCTTTCTCGATAGATTTTCTTTTTTATTATTATAATTACATATTATTATTTATATGTATGTACTAATAATTTATTAACTAATTTATGAACTGTTTTAAAATTTAATAATGGATATTTGAAATAATTTAATTTTAAATTTAAATAAAAAGAAATAAATAAAATGTTAAAATATCCATTATATCAAATTGGTTTTTCTGATTCTTCAAACTCCTCACGTAAGTATAAGTAGGTATAAGAGATAAGATATCTTTGATAAAGATACAGCTGTATAACAGTTTGAAAACTTATTTGCACGACGATATCATAAAGTTCGTGTTGTCTTTTACGAAAGTATCTAATAGTAATATCTTAAGACAAGATGCAGGTAAGATGCTGATGACATAGCAAATTTTTATCATGCCTTTTTCTCGTAATATTAGCGTAATTATAATAGTCGAACACTTTTTACAGATGTCATTTCATGGCGGCGTTGCGGAAACTATTCTGTTTGAAAAATGGCGCATAAATAACACTCAAGGAATGATTGGTTCCGTAATCGGCGTCATTCTTCTAACTGCATTGTATGAAGGACTAAAATCTTATCGGTGAGTAAATATTTATTAAAACATGAAAAAGATGCAAGCTATCAGTCGAGCCGTAGTTGTACGTTTCAGTGAGTATCTCTTCGCGCGTATGATGTTTCTCAGGAAGAATCAACAGAAGAAATCGAGAAAGTATGTGAACAGTAATTATGATTTCCGTAAAGTGCTCACAATATTTTATTACGTTGTTTATTATTACAGTGCATTGTTGTTTTCCGGAGTGCATTTCTTTCAAACGCTTCTGCACGTAATTCAAGTAGTGCTTGGCTATTTCCTTATGTTTATTTTTATGACATACAACTATTGGCTCTGCATCGCTGTCGGAACTGGAACAGCTCTTGGATATTGGTTGTTCCAATGGGAAAAAGCTAAGAATGAAAATACAGATTGTTGTACGTAAATACATTTTTTAAACATTAAAGTTGTCATTTTTCAATCATATGTAAGATGCTTTAATAACTAATTATTCTACTTATTTTAATATATTATATATATATATAAATATTGTACTATATTGTGCATAGGTATAAGAAAAAACATTTACTAAATTTTAACAAATTCAATTTCTTTGAACAATTTTAACGGAATATTTACTAAATGTAAACACATATTTATTAGATACAAAATCATATTTTCATATTTCTAAATCTTTCTTCTTTTCATATTTATTTACTGTAAGTAAATATTCCGCTAAAAAACTAATCAAAGAAATATTTATTCAAATTAAATAAATTTTTTTCTCAGCAAATTTTGTTAAAAATGAATTATTTATATTCAGATACAAACACAAACACAAGTATCGGATTAATTCCTTAATTTTTGGTACTTCAATCATTTCTTTTTATATTCTTAGATAATTGACGGTTGTCTGGAAGCAATATCTAATCTAATCTAATTTATTAAAGACACATTCATTTTGATAATGATAGTAGGTGTTTATCAGACAAGCAGACGTAAGTCAATTCGTTGAATACTTGTCGAATATTTTGTCACTCGTCGAATAACTTAAGAGCATTTGACATCATGGCGGACAATCTGAGTAACGCAACAATTTGTTGCTCGAAATCCGATAGCAATCAATTTCTATCAGTCCGTCAGATTATTTTTGGATGGAATAGATTCAATTCCATATCCTGGTTGCTGCTATTTGTATTCTTCTGTATTTGGTGCATAACATATTTTTCTGCCTACAAACTAGAACCGGAAGAGGACAATAATCATGGTAATCATCACTACTGAAGTGAAAATGAATCATAGAAAAACAAAATAATTATTATTGAAAAATGTAAGTATTTAAATTACATTGTTATTATTTAATATAAAAATGTATTTGAAATAATTATAATGATATGATAACATAGATTTGATTTTTTCAAACTTCAATTTAAGTTCTAAAATCACTTGTGCACTTGTTATTTTTAATTAATTGTTGTTATAATCTTACAATAAAAATAATCAATGATACGGTTTTCCAATACATTTTATTTAAGAAGGTAATTAATTAATTAATTTAGTCTTTTAATCTGTTTAGATAACTCAACTAAAGTATCAAGGCGGAATTATTGAATATTTACTAATTTAATAAGATTTAATAAATATTGAAAGTTAACAATTTATTAATAATTATATCCTAAATAATAAATGACAGAAATATTTTAAAAATAATTCTTGCAAAAAAACCTTTAATAAAATATGTGGAATTGTGAGTACTCTGTATATTTACAGTTATAGAAAAGATAAAAATAAAACTTTTATTGTTTCTCAATACGTCTATATATATTTTTCTAGTATATTGTATTCTTTAACATCAAAACATATTCTTCAAAGTTTCGAAAAATATATTGATGTAGCATACAGTAATAACTTGTAAAATAATTTTTACATGTAAAATTAAGAAAATAGCCTTACTTATTTTTAAGAAAAAAATGTTAATGTGTTAATCCTCCTAATGCGATTTTATAATCCTTTTAGACATTAAAAATATTTACTGTAACAATAAAGAATGCTTTGTCAAAATTACATTATTCATAGAAGAAATTGCAAATAACATGACAAATAAATATGACCTATAATTTAATGTATTATGAATGGTAGTCGTTCCAACAAAAATAAAATATAATATCACACAAGAAACTTTAATATTAAAAATTTTAAAAAAAATTTCAAAAAGAATAATCTTTAATTAGATTATCTTTCAATTATATTACATTAAATTTTTTTAATGTCAACAGGAAGAAATAATATTTGAAAAAAGTAATAGTTGAAAAGTGAACAAATATTAATTAGACTTTTTACTAGCAATTTTTTATTTTTTTTAAATCATTATTTGAAAAGAGCCTGCAATTCTCGTGTGCGTTTAGAGTGTCCTTTTTATTTTCTGAAAACACAAGAAATTACATTTGGGAATTGTAAGTCTCAAGAGAAATGCTCAATCTATTTGAAGCGTGCACGATCACACCGAAAATAGATGATAATGTGCTTGAAACAAGAAAAAAATATGATGTCATGAAACAATTTATGTGGACTCTGAATTTTTTTTCAATATATAAAAATATTTTAATCATGTTTAATGAATGAATAACAAGAAATAATAATGTTTTGATATTTCTTGCGATATGATATTTAAAATATAAAATTGTTACATTATTTAAAGAGAGAGATATGCTATAAAAAAATTTTATTATTATCCAGAAAAATCCCATTTTTTAAATATATTAATTGTATTTTTATATTAATTATTAATATATTTCATATATATCGTATTAGTTTTTTAATATATATATTAAAAAATATTACATTTTAAGTTTCCTTTTCAGTTCTCTACACATTTTAATTTAAAGTATCTATAACGTATAGAGCGTGTCTAACAATATAAATGTACGGAACATGCATTACTATGCAATTTATACAAAGCATCGTCATGATTGAATGTCTCGAAGCAGACAGAATGATAAAAGATGTTTCTGAATGTACACCAAGGATCGCTGCTCGTTAATCTCTTTTATCGAGCGACATCCGTTGCTTTACATAAATGAATCGATAACTAAAATAGCAAATAAAAAAACGTTTATGACACTTCCGATCAATCTCACGCTTTTATTATTTTCAAAATTATACTCGATATTCAAAAGTTGTATATCTTTTTATTTAGAGACGTACTTTTTTTTTCTGACATTCTCTTTTTTTGCAACCAGTAACCTTGAGCGGCCTTTGTGCATTAAGCTTTTTGAATCCAATAATCCATGCAGATTGCAGCTCAGCAACTTGGATATTTTTCTTTTTTTATTGTGATTTACTCCCCTGCAGTTTCTGTTTGTCTAGTCCTTTTCTGCTCCTATTTGTTTGCAATACGTTCTTATTTTTCGAACGTGCAATATAATAGCAAACGTAGACTGTTATTCACGTATGATCTTTCAATAATACACATATACATGTCAAACTGTTACAGATGATAGACGTTTATCAATAAAATTACCTCCGACTAAAGGATATGAAGGACATATTTGTCCGTCAAATTAACGTTTCCGCCGATATTCGTTTGCATTAAACTTGCACTTAAACTTGTATTGATAGTACTAGCACCTAGATTCTGTTTTTCTAAAAAAAATATTATTAGGTGTTGGAATTAATTCGTAGCGTTTTACAAGTGATGGGAAGTACTTTCATTAATGTATTTTTTAATGCTCATGTGAAATAAATAACATTCTTTCATTGTAAAACGCTACGAATTAATTCCAACACCTAATAGAATTGTATTTTTTATATGATTTATATACATTCGTACGTTGTAAGTTTATTATACATTTTTGTAAGAAAATATTTCATAGATTGTTTTGATAATAGTAGTAATACAATTTTTCGAGAGAGAGACATACCCATAAAATGATTAACTGTCGATTAAGATAATGAAGGAATAAGTTAACGATTTAATTATTTTTTCATTTATTTATAATATTTAAATAGATAAGCATGAAGATGCTTATTTATCTAAATATTATAAATAAATAAAAGGTTAACACTATTGCTATGAATATTGACGTCACGTATAAAAAAAAACTTTGTTTTTAATTCCGAAAAATAAAATGTGTTCAACTTGAAAATAAAAGAAAAACATGAATAATAAAAGTTCACAGTTTTCAAATTTGCACAATTTAAAAATAAATGTAAGTATACATTTTTATATAAACTGTATTAAATGTAATTTTAAATTAATTAATGCACTTGATACATATATTATAATAATCTTGAAATATTTTTTGATAAGACATAAGAAAAAAATTTACTAAATTGAATTTGTTATATCTTTCTTTTAATACAGATAAGTTTATTCGATAAAAACTGCGTCATATTTTCTATTTAACTCTAAATATACATTACGTTATATATTACGCAATATTATTTAAACAAAAACGTAACATTTTATGTACTTTTATAGATATATTAGATACAATGTTATTCTGCATAATAGCATAATAGAAACTTGGATATCTTAAAAAGTTTGTTTTTAAATATTTTTTTTTGTTTTATCTGTTATAAAAATATTTTTAGAGAATTTAAAATTTTTGAGAAGATATATAATATGTATTTGCAAGCAAAATATTCTTTATGTCCTTGACATTGAGTCGTTTTCTAAATATAGATTGAAAATATAGACTAGATAGATAATCATGGGGGAATCGTCGTCAAATATCCAGACGCTGCTGAATTACACGCGTGTGCGGCTGATCGATACTGGCGTCGCTAGCTGGTAAACCGTATATTCCTCCTTTACGCATCAACCCCTCGGACGAATCGCGCCCTTCAGTCCCGATTCGCCCTTTAGCTGGAACTACCCTTGGTTAATACATGGTAGACGTATAAAATACTTGCCCTGCTGCTTAAGTTAAAGCATTTTTGTTTAGCTCGTGATAAGTACATAGGCAAGAATACATTGCAGTAAAATATATGATTTTTTTGTATGGATGTTGTTTTACAATAAAATTTCTACGAAATAAATATATATACAATTTATATATAACTTAAATAATGTATATTATTTTTTTATTACGAACATTTACATTATTCTAAAATTTTGTCTTAAAAATACTAATAAATAAAAAAAATACTTATATTTATGTTGTATATTGCTAGAATAATAATATATGTATGTATATATACATATATATATATATGTATATTTATGCGTGTCATTTATGTATATATTTTCTAATCTTATACAATAAATTATAGCACAATATATTATAAAGAATTAAAAATTAAAAATTTGGATTTGAAAGTACAAGATTTTTAAATTTACATGTATTTTCTCTGTGCTTTTTGAAATCATACAAATTTTAATACCATGAAAATTTTATCTTTAAAACCATAAAAATTCAAATAGTGCGATCATATATCAAATAGATAATGAATTCTGCGGTAAAATATTGGAGAGGCAGAAAAGAGAAAAATTCGTTCTCTATGCATCGGGCCGAATTTTCGTGAAACGATTCGTTACTCTCTACAAATTTCCAGACAGATCTGCCTGAATATCAGCAAATGGTAATTGCATTGGTTCCAAGAGACGTATGTGTCTTTGAGTTTTGAGATGGAAAATTTCTGGCCCATGTCCAAATTGGGTTCTCTACGTGTTGCATGTTGTAAAGTAAAATGATATGGGAAGTGCAGAGAGCACTTAGTAAAATATTATATTCCGCATAAATGAAAAGACAGTCTGTATATATAGGATATGTAACACAAATAATTATACATTTGAAAAAACATTTATTAGACTTTGTTTCAAATGCATAATTATATTTGTCATAGTATTAAAGAAATTATTTATGGTTTTTATAATAATAAGAAATTTTTATATTTAGTCATAATTTTTTTTTGTTTGACTCGTAATAAAAATAATTTTTATAAATGAGATTAAATACAGTTTATAAGTTACTGGCTATAATATATATATAGCACTAAATAAAATATGTTAAATAATTCGGTGTAAATCTATTGAAAATTATATTCGTATAATATAACTGAATCACTGAAACAGTAAGTTTGCGATTCTTTTGATAGATGGCAATACGGACTTCTTTTTCACACATTTACATAAAATACAATTTATAAATACAATTTATGCACCACGTATATACATACATACGTCGGTAAAACTTGCGAATTTTTAATTGTAATGATAATGAATGCGCATATTTATGTCAGCTTTCATGGAAACATATGACAGTCAGCTCTACGTGACTTTTTTATTGCATTGATATTTAAACACTAAAACGTTGAATATTATACATATACGTAATAATAATCATTTGCTTCGAAGGAGATGAAAAATATTTAATCAAGCGGATGCTTATAATGAGGTCATCGCAGAAAGATAACTCGGCCATATTCGCAAATGTCGCGCGACGCCTTATTTCTTCCTTGTATATCTTTTGTTATGTATAAATTTTTTCGTAATAAATAGATGCTAATAAATTCAAAGGAACGCTGCGTGTTCGGTATACAAAATTCATTTAAATAGCAATTGCTGGCAGTGAACGTCATTTTATGAAACGTAAAAATAAAATGCACTACCATATATATGTGCAAATCTGGGATGTCCGTCAGGCATGCGCGTT